ATGCATCTAACCGAATTAAAACCGAACTTCAAACAATATGAATATAACAAATATTTTGAAATGCATGTATTCTTGGATTTTTTAACTAATTCATATCTCGATACTGCCTACTCGGTTTTCTCATTTCGGATGTGGGAAAAGTACATTCGGACTTTCCAAAAACTGCCCATCTTATGCCAATCAAGCAAACTCTGCGTGTTGGGTTAATAGTTGTGACAATTCGGATATTCCATGTATCAGCCATTTGGCATCAGATTTGACCGCCGGTTGTGTAGTCGCTGAGAGTTCGGTCGTAAGTCTCGAGTCTTATGCTTGACACCCTACTCACACCTCCAAACCTGAGTAAATGTGAACTCTCTACATGGAACAGGAGCAGCCAAAAATCGTAGTATCTCCACAGTGTTCTGTACTTAGTAGTCTCCTTACATCGAAAAACCCTTGAAGAAACCTAATTTCTGCCAACAGCACTCTTTCAATGAACCTCGAGCACTTACCATCATAATTGATTGTAGCTCCGTAGGCAGACCTAGAAAAATCTTTCTAAAACTGCCCTGTCATATTTGTAGGAAAATAAAATTGACTGCATTACCAGCTCGCACACCATAGAGTGATGCCTAGAAGAAATATGACCTTCGCCGCATCAGTAAACGCTGCCTAATATCAACCCGAAGTACCATCTCTGACGGCCAGATATTATAAATCTAGGTTATTTCGCTGTTTAATTTCTGTTAACCCTAGAATCAGAATAACAATAGCGAGCTGCTTAAGTTTAATAATTATCAAAAAATAGAGAAGAACGGTTGGGCTCTGTGAAATTTAGTGCTGTTCGTTAAAGTTGTAAAATAAAGAATTGCTCTGTTTGCACAATCACTGAAAACAGTTATTTTGTGGACTTTTACAGTTTCTCGAAAAATGTTGAACTCAAAATGTTTGTCAGTAAAAATTTAAGAGTCGCTTACGTTTTTGGCATCTGAAAGGATAAAATCATTTCCGGCACAAAAACTCTGTACCCTATTTCAGTATTTCATCGCTTAATAGAGCATTGAGTTGTGGTGGATAAGAGAAACTGCCGAGGAGAAATAGGCAGTGTCTGAGCTCCCGATGAATCCTCCAGACGCCTAAAACGTCACAACGCCGTCATCTTGAACTCTCTTTAGGCGGGGTGAACGAATGTCCTGTTTCAGAAACCTGGCAAGCATGGACAGTAGCCAAAATTATTTGCCAAGATGTAATGAAGTGGAAATTACAAGCAAACACGGCATCCAATCACCTCCATGCAGCTCGAGTCAAAGTACAACGGAAAATCTCGCACGACTGACAAATGCCCCAATTTCAACAGTGACAGAACTTCCACCAAATGAGCCGTAAGCGCCCAGTCGAAAGACCTCGATTACTCAGAGGACTGATGGAGCGGTGAGCCATAAGAGTAATACGGAAGATTACGGCGACAGACTGCATAAGGCAGACAAAAATTGGCATTGAGACTTGGTAACAGTAATCCTCGTTAAACAAGAAAGATCACTAAGTTGTCAGGCAGTCATTCAGTCAGCCATCCAGTCAATTTTGATGACCTCTCATTTTCTAAGCTCAAGGAGGCAGACGTGTCTCCAGTGTTCTCCAGCATGTGCCAGCGTTTGAGATTCGGCAGAAAATAAACCGAGTATGCAGCAGAGTCCTTCTATACACTTTCCCCAGGCTATCCACGGTTGTCTACGGGGTTTCCGGTAGGTCGGTTGCACAGCAGTAGCTCTTTTGTCTTCCTTTACGGCAACTGCATAGCAGCAGTCAATTCTCAATTTCAAAAATTATAAAAATTTTCATGGCATAAGATTGTTTAATTATGATAGATTTATGTTTCTGCAAATTAATACTGCACGGCCTTGGGTTTCGATACTTCAACAGCCGACCAACGGCCATTTGACAATACTGGGTTTAACGTACAGCCTAAGATAGTTACAGCGAAAATGGGACAAGAATGCACATGCCACTTGAGGCAACCTCTGCTCTTTCCTGAAGCTTCCAATTTTCCATTGTAATATTATGAAACTATTTAATAATAAACCGTTATATGTTGTTTACTGTATAGTTTCTGCTAACATTACGTCACCAGCGTACTCCGATACCGGGAGCTCTATTGAAAGACCCAAATAATCAAAGCGCTCATTTCAAGGCAATTTCCTCCTCCCCGCTCTTTCTGTAATAAAATAATACACGACGTAAATATAAATATTTTACCTTTTCTGCCTCATACTCGTCCATGAATTTCTGCTTTTCATTAGCCGGCAGTTCCCGCCATAGGTGTCCGATGATGCGCCCGATTTCCCACAACTTCTGATCCGGATGAGCAGCTTTTACACTATCCCAAATCTAGCAGACAATACGTACAATGATAAAATAAATTTTAGAGGTTACAGATTACGTCACTTTACGTCGGCTGAGCCGTTCACGCAAACACTGAAACATTGACGTACACGTATATTTTATTTTGGCAGCATGCCGCAGCCGACACCAACCACTACTGACTATTACCATAATTATTTTCTTATAATGTCAAACCAACAATTACTACTACAACTTATAATAAAAACGACGAGACAGCGCAAGGCTGTTCACCGGTAAATTATCAACGTTGCTGCGCCGTTGAATCACCTGAACTGCCACTGCATATATGCAAAATATCATAAATGCATATATCCCAGTTGGGACAGTGCATTGAGGAAATGCTTTAAATGTTCTTCAGAGCATCGATTTCACAAGGTCAAAGAACTTTGGCTCAATGGGTTCAATGAGTATCAGGTTGGCATTCTGCCATGGAAAATCCTCCAACGACTAAAGGCTGTTCAGCTAGAGAGAGCGAAAAGGTTAACAGTTTGATTGAACAGCTTTAACTATTTCGATTCATTTCCCTTATTTAACAAAACCAGAAGACGTCCTCAACATCTTATTTCCATAACTCGAACATTTAATCCGTTTTTGATTGAGGATTCAAGTTTCACCGTCATACAGACAGATCGTCTTATCAGTTTAATTTATACACAGACCTTCGTTGTACGTAGATGCTGCTCCACTTTCCAGAGCTCCACCTACTTTGACTGGACTGTCGTCGCTATTGCACTGCGGTCTTATCCTCAACTAAGGATGTCGCAAGGCTTGTAATCAATGTATCAAAATACCTTGAAATTTCCAGATGGTTAACCACTGAGCCATGCCTGTTGCCCATTTTCTACCTTTCTCTGCTCACCGCCCATTCTTCACAAATTATGATTCTCAGAATTCCTTCAGTGGTCTTCAAGCATGTCAACTTCCCTACTGTAGCTTAGGAATCCAACTGCTCAGCAATAACACTTTTCCGACCAAGTCTATTTACATAATATATTCCTGCTTTTACTGTATCTTTAGTTACCTACAAAATCAAAGCTCCAGCTACTGTAAGATAAGGCAATACGTCAGGGATTCGACTGATAACTTCTGGTAAAAGGATACCTGCACAAAATGGTGAAAATGCTGCGTTACCCGCAATGCATATTGGAAAAAGCTCAGTATAGGTAAAGTATGTAACAATAAGCAGAAGAAGAGCAAAAACAAACTGCCAGTGTTTAAATCAGATGCAGCGTTTCAACTTATGGTTCACGAATGAAAACCATAATGAGAATAAATGGTTACTCCTGTAGTAAAGTATCGATTGTTGCAAACAGTGGTTAAGACGCAACTGTATGAAGATTTGCGCATGCTAGGCGATATGGTCGCGGTGCACACTCTGATAATAAATGGCTAGACAAATCCCTCCATGTTCTCCCCCTTTGCTCATCTCGTCCTACGCAATTATCCTAAAGCGAAAAACGTGACACTGCTACTGGCAGTATGTAGAACCCTTGTATAATGA